CTGCGTTGGAAAGACCAGGTGGAGAAGGACTTGGCTTCACTTGGCATTTCCAATTGGCGTCAGTTAGCACAGAAGAGAAATTACTGGCGTGCTGTTTTGACTCGGCCAAAATCGCTTAGGCGGTTACAGCGCCAATCAAGAAGAAGAAGAATATACAAAATTAAGTCAATGCATTTTTATAGATACGCAGGGATTAGTTCAAGAGAACAGCAGTGCCAAAGGCAGCAACAGTCCGGGCGGATTACGCCTGCTTCGAAATTTATGGGTCTGCCGCGAAGCGCGTTCGCGGTAGGATCTGGAAAATTTAACCGTTACCCTAAAAACTGAAAGATACAGTTTAAGTTATTCAGTTTTCTTAAAGTCCAATTAGTAATACTACTCAGGTATTAGTTATTTATTCAAGGCGGTTAGCAACCAAGAAATTTAACAAAGCTATTGCAGTTTAACAGTAAAATTTTTTTTAATAAATTTTTCGACTACTTTTTAAATTAATTTGAGGAGCGGGATTCGAAAAAAAATCAATTACATTTTCAATTCCTTTCAAAGGAATTGAAAAAAAAATTACATTATTAGCACGTAATTTATTCCAATTACAATATGAAATTCCTTGTAATTGAAATTGTTTGAAATTACTTCAGGAATTGAAAAAGTAATCGATTCCTTTGCTGTGAACTGAAGTAATTGAATCCTAATTACAATTACTGAGGAATGTACATGTACATTTCAAAATTTCAACCCTGTTTGTGTGAAATATATTATTTTTATCAGTATTTTTCTTTTAATCAATCTATGTTGAAATAAAAGTTAAAATAAAACAAGTAAGAAAGTCTAAGTTCGGGCGGGGCCGAACATTAAATACCCGGCGCAAGCATTAAATATATCTCCTTTCCGAAAGCTACCGCTACATGGAAAGTCAGTTTTGAGTAAATTAGCGTCCTTAAATTTCGAAATATTGAAGTTTCAAGCAGTTCTGAAATTTACCGTTATATGAAAAGCGGCCGTAATTTTAGTCCGCTTTCAATAATTTTTAACGCTTTGCTTTTATGTGGCAAGCACAATAACCGTACCGTGTTTGGTACAAATTGGTAGAACGGTTACCGAGATACATATATGTGATCAGAAGTGGGCGGTGCCACGCCCATTTTCCAACATTTTATCATAAACGTATTTCTCGGTAAAGAGTTGTTACAAGCATCAATTTTGAATAAATTATCTTTAATATTTACTGATTTATCGAAGATTTCTTATTTCTCCAAATTACCGTTATATGGGATGTGGGCCTGGTTATCGTCCGATTTAAAAAATTTTCGGCCATTTGGTATGCTGTACCAAGGCCAACTACTGCGCCAAGTTTGGAG